TGTGCCTTATAACCGAGAAACTACAGTAATTACTATCCCTATTTTATATTCTATTTTATTGATTACAAGTACATGATTAATCAAATTTTAAAGAAATACTGTGATAGTTATAAGCATTTTCTTGACAACTGCAGTTACTGTTATTTTTTATAGGGAGATCTTGGTGCAATTGATGATAAATATGATGTAGCCATCAGTACAGCATGTGGAGCATTAGACAACATTGTTTGTGACAGTATTGATACTGCTCAGAAGTGTATTACCTTCCTCAAGCACAACAATATAGGTTCTGGTACTTTTCTTGGTCTTGACAAGGTACAGCAGTTTCAATTTTTGAATTGTTTGTGTAACCTGATGCCTCTTATGTCAGGTCTGGAGACTTACTGTAAACTATGTTCATGCTAAGCCATACCATTTTGTAAAGTCATGCAATATTATATATTCTCTTTGAAATTCAAGAAGTCCTGCTTTGTAGATTCATAACATAACTGTGTTCAAAATATGTAATAAGAAGAGAACAATTCATGTTGTTTTGATGCTTACAAGGACTGTTTTACTCATCTCAACATAAATCACAAATTAAACTTAGGGCCAATCATATCCACAGTGACTTGTTGAAAAATAACCTCACTTTGAAGGTTTTAGATTGATTTAGAGATGGCCCCAATATTTATTCACAAACTCTGCCTTAACTTTTACATCGTTATGATTATGCTTAGGAGTCTGTACTTGAGATTCTGCTGACAAAAATAATTTTTCTCTGACAGTTATGACAGGTACCCTTTCAGTTTTTTTCAGACACCAAGTTTAATTTAGCTGAATTTGACATTCTCACAATACAGGTAGAGAAATGGAGGAAAGATGCATCTAATAAAATCAAAACGTAAGTTATGGATGATTTAAAGGACAGTGCCTTAGGGAAACTTGAGAAAAAACCTTTTTTGGAATTTAAAAAAAATACATATAAATAAATGGATATCTCTTATTAAATGTTTCAGTGTGTAGTATTGCTGAATATCACATGACCCAAACAAGTTGCAATAAGCCAGTCCAAAAAAATCAGTCTGCCCCCACTCACTGGTATGGCTTTCTCACAAAAGAATAAGTTGAGTTTCTTGTTCTGACTGGAAAAAACATTAGAAGAGTCTTTTTGGTTGTCCTCCTTAGTGCAGTTTGATAATTAATTTATATATATGGAGCTCAAGCCATATCTGAGGAAGCTAAATATTACTGAGGGGTTTAACTCTTCCCCATGCATTTCTTCCACCCAAAACTGTAACAGGTTTAAACATGACATAGTCACCATTGAAGAAATCATTCTGTATATGTATCATTGACCCACAGGGAACTGAAAATGATCTTTTTTCCTTGACTCATTTTGCATTTCACCCTCACAAACCTAAAAGAACAGAAATGCCCAAACCTATTATAATGTGGAAAATGTAGGCAGATGTGCAACTATTCAGACATTTCTAACCTTAAATACAAATATTTTTTGTACCCCACAAGCCATAATTTCATGGGGGAAAAAACATTAAAACTGGTAAATATACTTTGGTTTGGTCACAGGCCACAGAATGTCCCACGTTTATATGACTTGGTTCAAGTGAAGAATGACCAAATACGCACTGCTTTCTTCTTTGCTCTGAGAAACACCCTTGTTGCTGATGATCTGAAGCAAGCTACAAACATAGCCTTTCAGGTAAAAATACTGGGCTGGTTATTAAACAAACTTTAGCCATTGTTTAACAAAACCATGTTCTATATTATGTGTTGTATTTAGTGGAATCTTTTATCTGAACATTTATTTATGTGAATGGTGTCAGGAGAGCAGAAAGTTAGCAGTGGAACAAAATTCATTTAATAAAGACAACCCTCTTGTAGAGAATGTATAAGGCCCACTGCTTTTGCAAAACTGTGATCTGGGTTAGACCTGTTCTAAATAACCAGCCCCAGTATTTCCTGTAATTCTTTACAGACTATTTGTGATCATTTAATATGATTAATATGAAATAAATGTGTGGTCTAGATAGAAACAGTTTGAATACATTAAAAGTCTCAATGCTTTGCAAGGTAGAGTTTATGGAAACATCAATGCTCAAGGGAAAACAAAACCACACTTTCTCCTGTGAGAACTGACTTAATTTTTAGGTAATTTTGTATTTTACCCAGGGTAGAAATTAATCAAATAAATACAGTAGTGTACTATCATGTTTTGTGGTTCACCTTAAGTTCCAGCTTACACAAACAACATTTGACTAAGTGCATCCTGCTTGAGGCATTCGGTAAGACAGATAAACATGGTTCATCTATATAGGCATTGTTGACTAAAGAAATTTTATGCCATTAGGGATCCAACAGATGGCGTGTAGTGACATTACAAGGTGAAATTATCGACCAGTCAGGTATAAAGCATGTTACTTCTTAGTCATCATAACAATACAGAATAAGGGAGTCTCTATAACTCTGTTGTTTCTGTTTTGTTTTTTTGCTTTTTTTGTGCTAAAAGATGTGGGTTTTTCCCTTTCTTTTTTGTTAAATGAGAAAGAAAAGAAACCTTTTTTTTGTATTAACAATGATGTTGAAGACAAAGAAAAATTCAAGAAATGGAAGATGTTTAAGTTTTTTTTTTCTCTTTAAAATTCTGAGATAATTATCATTCATTCCTTTGCATTGCTTTCACTTCATGCCCTACACAAATTAAAGCAAATTTATTTCAAGAAATATATTTTAGTGCAACTTCAAGGTTCAGTTAAGAAATTAAAATACTGCTACAGTGTATTTTGGCAGTTGCAAGTCACAGACCTGTTGATATCTGAAGTGTTTAAGGTTCCTGTTTCCAGTTGTTTTACAATAAGATTTTTGTGTCCACTTAAGGCACAATGAGTGGTGGTGGAAATAAAGTTGTCAAGGGAAGAATGGGGTCTTCTATTGTTTCTGATGTAAATCCTAATCAGCTTAAAGCCATGGAAAAGACTCTGGAGAAAGAGACCAAGGCAGCTGAGGTAAACAATTTTCCTTTCCTAAGTAGCAATTTTAAAAGTTTAACTCCTAATGAAATGTAACTCCATTCTTAGATTTGATCAGTATCTTGGAGACTAATGATTGTCTATTACCCAAAGGGCAGTTCCATTCAAACCCAAATCTCCAGAAATTCTGTTGAAAGGAACAAAAAATTTCAGCAAACTCATTTCAAAATTCTATTTAAGCTTTTGAGGTTGTCCAGTTTTCCAGAAATTAAGAAATTCTGGAAGTTTTCTGTTCCACTTGGATTTTCCACTTGGTACAACTTGATCCTAGTATTCCTAGTGGTAAGTGTAAAAAAAACCTTGACAAAGCTAATTTACAAGATGGTGGCATGCAGAAAGTTCAGATCTGCATGTGTGGTCAAAACAATCTGCCACAGCCTGAACCAGTTCTTGACTAGCCATCCTCCACAAGAACAATAGAATCTGCTTTTCTGGAACAATGACTGGTCACCAGACAAATTACCTAAGGGTATTTGACCAGTTAGCATTATAGCTTGCAACAGAATTTCACAAATTTCTCTTATCATAACAAAATGTTGCTTGAATTGGTGGGCAAATATCTTGGAAGATTTTTCTCAAAATAATCATGAATGCCTTAATTTTTAAACCCATTGGACCATTTCAACTGGTTAGACCATTTTAGTTGGTTGGCCTATTTTATCTAATTAGACCATTTTAACTAGTTGGACCATTTTTTCTATTTAGAGCATTTTAACCAGTTGGACCATTTTATCTAGTTACCCCACTTTACTAAGTGGACTGTTTTCACAAGTTGGACTATTTAGTTTCAGCAGTTGAATATGTGTAAATCGAGGTAGCCCTTAATAGAAAGATATGCATGTCTGAGTGCATAGATTATTGCAATGAGTTACTTTTATCACACAGTCTCTAACATAATTTTTGATGACAACTGTAGGAGTACAGAGAAGCAAAGAAGAGGCTAGAAGAAATAGTAGATGAGCTGAAGAAAGAGCTGTCCACTGCAGAACACCAATTACAGAAAAATAATATGGAGATCAAGGTATACTGCAGGTTTTAATTTTTCTGGTTGTGATTGCTTACAACATGTGTTACAGATGATATAAATTGTAAAAAAGAAGGGTTTAAAATTGGTTTGCAGGCTGCAGACCCCAACAATATCCAAGCACCAAAAATGTCTAGAAGTGTAAACTGTGGTCTAAATACAAGCAATAGCATGGACAATCGTTTAAAAATTACTGTGTTTTTTATTGCTTCGGTGCGTATTTACATATATGTTAACGTCACTGACTGAATGTTTCTTTTCTTAGGCTTTGGATGACCAGGAGGAGAATTTGAGGCAGCAAATAGTTCATCTTAAAAACAAAGTGGTTGAAAGTACTCCGGATGAAACAAGGCTTAAAGTGCTTGAAGACTCAGTTACAACTCACGAGAAAGGTCAGTTAAACACCTTCAGCAATTTGCTTATCACTGAGCAAACCTTTCAGGTCTCTTTCTTTGTCCCTTAATTAGGCTCACATTGTTCTCCTTTTCGGGCGGTAACCGGTAACATTTACCGCCTGTAGTACCTCTTATTACCGGTTAAAATTTCTTGGAATTCTTGAAATTCAACAGGTAAAAGGATTGCTGTACCGGTTTGAAAATTTATTTTACCTGTCATGCTTAAAATAAGGGAGAACACTGGGCTCAATACATGACAGTCTTAAAATCAACTGATGTTAACAAAGGATCAGTTTTAAAGCCGCTGCTCTCAAATTGAAAATAGCATTTTAACAGAACGTCACGCGGCTCTGCAATATCATATGCTGTGAAAAAAAAAGTTACCCTCTGTCTTGGTTCTTTAATTATTCACAGGAAAAAATGAAAAAGAAGATCATACCTTAAGGTTTTCATACTTCAAACGCCCATGACAAACCCAACCCCACCCGTAATCGCTCCTCACCCCACTCTCTGTTATATTTGTTGTCTCTTGCCATAGTGACCTAGAAGGAAAATAAATTAACCATTTGGCCTCCTTTGCGCAGATTTTGACTGGCATTAAGCAATGATTTCCAAAACAGCAGTCCATGCACAAGTCTAAAATAAATAGCTAAGGCAGACTTCTAAATGCGTGTGTATCGTTAGGAAGAAAAGGTTAAATTTTCAACTATTCCAATACGTAGGGCATATGAAAGAAGGATTTGGAGGAATACTGAATCTTGCTTTCATTTTCTCATGCAATATTTCAACTTTTTACCGCACCGCTTTGTTTCAGTGACGAAGGCAATCAAACAAATGACAGAACCTTAGAACTCCACTCCAAAAATTCCAGACACTTAAGTGCTGCCTGCGATAAACTTAGACCTGCCGTCATTACAGATATCTTGTGTAGCTCTGGAGAGTGTAAACTAGCACAAAGTGTGAAAAGGCTTGAAAAAACAAGCTATAGAAGTCTAGGAAGAAATTTCGGTTCTCCTGAAAGTAGCCTGTACGAGGCATTCAATTAATAGGGTGCGAAATAGCAAACGGTGCGATGGTACCGAGGAGGCATGGGTCGCGACTCGACCCAATTCCTCCTCCTTTTCATTACTCTACCACCACCATGGCGGTCTGCCACCGTGTTGGGCTTCGTTCTACAAACTGAACGCTTGAAACAGGCGATCCATATTAAAGCCGGGTTTACATGCGCCACCGTTTGATCGCTGTGTTGATTTCCGGGATTTGAAATTGAAAAGCATGCAACTGATAAATGGCCAATGAGACTGTAATTGATCCGGAAGTCGTGGCACTTTTTGAAGACTCGGGGGATGAAGGAAGCTTCGATGGGTTCAATGAATTAGATAGGGCAGGTTTGAATTTAGATAATGATTCAGACTTAGATTTAGATGACCTAGAAACTGAAGAAGATGACACAGATACCGAAGAAGAAGAGGCTTGCTGGACTGACCAGCTCGTCGATCTCCAAGTTCCTGAGTTCGTAGCAGCTACTGGCATTAATTTAGTCTTAAATAATCCTAATGAACTGGATATATTTTTAGCTTTTATCGCGGATGATTTGTGGGATAAAATGGTTGAGGAAAGTAATCGTTATGCGCACCAAAAGCTTGACAATCGATCGGAAAATTTTCGCGCCATAACGCGAGCAGAAATGAAGGCATTCATTGGAATTAACATAATTATGGGTATTGATAAGCTCCCAGCCTATGCTCTTTACTGGTCAACCGATGAATTTTTTGGAAATCCAGGAATTAAGAGGGTCATGGCTAAGAATAGATTTGAACAATTAAGTTGCTATTTACATTTTAATGATTCAAGCAAAGAGCCCGCAAGGGGTACTAGAGATTACGATCGCCTTTTCAAAGTTCGAACCGTTTTAGATTATGTTCGTGCTAAATGTAGTGGGAATTTCCTGCCCACTAAGAACATTTCTGTAGATGAGGGTATGGTTGGTTTTCGAGGGAGGTTATCTTTCAAGCAGTACATGCCGGCAAAGCCAACTAAGTATGGTATTAAAGTTTGGATGGCTGCTGATTCTAGTAATGGCTATGTGCTGAATTTTGATGTGTACTTAGGTAAGGAACCAAACCAGCGGCCAAGAATTTATGGCTTAGGGTACGATGTGGTGACAAGTATGATAAGGCCTTTCATGAATAAGAACCATCATGTCTACTTTGACAATTTTTTCAGCTCAGTTAAGTTATTAGAACATTTAGCAAGTAATGATACTTATGCTTGCGCCACTGTAAGATCTAATCGTAAGGACTTACCTCCATGTGCAAAGGATAAATTGGGCCAAGGGCAGAAGCTAGTTCACCAAAAGGGAAATGTTGTTTTTACTAGGTGGCATGATAAGAGAGATGTTAGTATAATTTCCTCTAATTGTAGTCCTTTAGCCATAGATTTAGTAGTAAACAAACAAAATCAGCAGATTTCTAAGCCAGCAGTAGTTGATCATTACAATAAGCACATGGGAGGTGTTGATTTTGCAGATCAATTACGCAGCTATTACTCAATAGGCCGTTCCTCTTATACATGGTATAAGTATTTGTTTTGGTTTTTAATTGATATTTCAATATGCAATTCTTTCATTCTGTATAATCATCATAGGCGAGAGCATGGGCAAGGTAAAGTAAAACAGCTAAATTTTAGGATGAATCTTGCAAAGCAATTGATAGGGGGGGTTACTACAAAAGGCTCTGTAGGTCATTCTGCTAAGCGCCGTAAGATTGAGAATTTGTCTCTCCAGTCAGGAAATGCAGGATTTCATTTTATAGTTAAAATTGATGGTAGGAAGAAAGTTTGTATTCAATGCAAGAAGTTGGGTAGAAAGACAGTGTCAGGTCGATCGATAGAGACCTCATTTCAGTGCTTACAATGTAGCATAGCCCTTTGTAAAACTTGCTTTCAAGCTTTTCATTCAAACTGAAATTTCAAACCCTGAGTCAATCACCATAGAATAAGTGTCCAAAAGAAGAGGAAACAAACAAACACAGATGATGAAAGTATATCCTGTTGGCCTATCAGGTGTCAATGTTTTGACAGCAAAACTTCAAAGTTTTTTCTTCCAGTTGTAGCGCTATTCAGTTATTGCTGCTTCAAGGGGTTATCTTTTAAAGATGAAATAGAGGAAAAGAATCATATCTGATCACAGAACTACTGATGAGTTTTTGGCCAAAGTAGAAAACACAAGGTCTTGAAAAGAAGATATAGAGACACTTAATATGTTGTTTGACAGATCCAGAGCTTCACTTTTCATCTCACTGTGTAGTGTGATGATGTGGTAAACCACCTTCACTGTGCTAACTGTGCTCACTTGATTTCTTAAGTGGTAGGCAACACTTAAAATTTCTACCTTGTTTGTGTACTGTAAATGCCATTGCCCACCATTATCAACAAGTGCAAAAACTATTTCAATAAGGCCAGCAATCCAAACCTTCACCCAAATGGGTGGGACACTTTGGAGTTTTACAGTCAAAACAAGTGTGAACATTAGGCTAACAGAACATATTTTTATTACATACCTGGAAAATTAGATATAATTAGCAGTAACTATAACTGAGCCTGGGGTTCTTGTTTTGACCTTTCTGTGTGTGATGCAAAGCTGAAAGAAAATTTTAAAAATTACTTCATGTAAGGCAAAAAATGACATTACTCACAATGTGTTTATCAGATTTAAATTATGTATTAGCTAACATGACTTGGAAATGATAATGTAAGCACAAAAATGTTAGGAATGTGTCCATGTCCATAATTAGTCGTAATGTCCATTCCTGGCATCAGCATGTTTGGGGTAATTGGAATGCAAAGGCGAAAGATTACAATCAAACCCTGTCCATTTGATCTTGAGCTTCGACTATGTGCTTTGGCAAGAGACAAACACTTGCTAAGTGGGAAGTGGGAATGTTTCGCAAGCAGTAAAGAGAATTTGGTGAGTGGAAATTCTCTTTTTTCAACCTGTATGGTGACTCTTTGAAAAAAGTTTCAGTATGCAACAGTTTTTGAAGTTGGAATTAATCTTGCCAAATATAAGGCTTTATAAGAAAAGCCTCTAGCTCATGATCATGCTTTTTCCTTTTTTTTGTCTTTTTGCATTTTTCTATGACAACATTATGGTTATTTTAGCACTCACATAACATGATCCTGAGTGGGAAAAACTTCAGGAAAGATGGGAATGATGCATGCAAAATCTCAGGTGTCAAAGGGTTTATACACAGGCATTGTTTTCAAGGTTTGCTTTCATTGTCTAACAAACATTACAGAGGTACTTGTACTGCATGATTCAGTCAGTTTTCTTTTCTTTTTTGTCTTTGAATTTTACTGCTAATCATGCTTGAGACCAAAATTAAAGTAGCCTGTGTACGGGTAAGGTAAGGTTATTACACAGAGAATATTTTAACAGGTAGTACTGGAAAATGCTTGCCAGTTGAATACTTAGATTGCGGCTATTTCTTTATCTGTTGAAGAATGGCGAACAGCAGTGTCATCATCAAGTAGAATAGAAACAGAAGTACAGAAGTGAGTATCTTGCCAGACTGTTCAGATAATGATTTATTCTCACAATCCTGGTGTTCCATATTTGTTAGAAATGTTTATCCTGGGTTTCTTAGCCTCTAGCAATTAGGATTATTGCTTGTCAATCTTGATGGGATACTATAGATACTGCATTACATTTGGTATCCATATTTGGCATATTGGCTTGTCTTTGGTGCTAGAGAGAGGCATTGTAAGAGTATCTGTAAAGAACACAAAGCAGTGCTTCCCCTTAGGAGACCAACAGGACCAACCATTTGTTAACACATTTTATACCTCCAATATCTATTGTCGTGATATTGTATTTTATAGACTTCACAAACAAATTATGGAGATTGGTGGTTCAAAGCTCAAGATGCAACAGGTCTGTGATATACTCTCTACAATAACAATAAGTAGATGTCTGACATTTTGATCACTGTGGATAGATCTATTTTACAGCAAATGTATAGTAATGGTTGTGTTAATCTCTCATTATACTGTCACTGTTAACTGAATTATAACAGTAAGAACCAAATAAGCTATATATGGGCTTATGTGATGTTCTATGAAAGTTTGGATAACTGCAGAAACCATGCGCAAGTGAAATTTGGAACCTTTTAATAATAAAATGTACAAGTAGTTTATTGGATTATTTGTATTTTGTATTGTCAACAAAATCACTTACCGTTGCTACCTATGTTATTGTCACTGCCCATTGCCCAAAACACTTTTCAGTGGTTTTGAAAAGGCTTGTAGGTGCACTTTCAATTTGTCATTTTGTATTGTAATCATGTCAGAGAAGCCAAGTTTAATGTTTTTAGAAAAATGTTTTGTTTGCCTTAAAAAGCTGGAGTCTTTATGGGGTGCAATGTGGAAATGCTGTAAAGCACCCTAAAGTATTATTGTGGAAACATCATTGTATAACTGCTGATGAAGGACTAACTCTTGAAACATCAACTTAGAAATTATTTACCATGGCATATCTACATTATCAATTTAGTTGATAAAACCAAAGAGACCCAGTGAAATGAATTCAGGTGATCATCCTGCATTTCCAGCTTAGTAGGAGTTTCAACCCTTGATTAGTTTCTGCCCAATAATAACAATTCCCAGTTATGAGAATGTTAACTCAACTCAATTAAATTTTAATTTAAACTTGTCTGTGAGTTATTCTTCAATTCAATAGTTGAAAAATATGAATACCAACATTTATTAGGATAGGGTGGATGTATTGACCAATGCTGTAGATGAAGTAGTCGGACAAATGACCAAAGCAAATGTTGCTATCAAGACTTGTCACAGGTATGTAAAGTAGGACAACAAACTGTTTATTAAATGGAATGCTGCATTTAATAATGTTTCCAAGTCTTAAATGGCATTTGTAGATTTAAAATAATAAATCAGCATTTCTTTTTTGTTTAATCATTTTAATAAACGTGATTGGCTTTCTGACTATAATACAATTGAAGTATTTCATTGCCTGGGCACTACAAGACTCAAAATTTCTATTCTCCTGCTCAAATCTGTCTCAATGCTCAGTGCACTTACTCATTAGAAATCAATTTGAAAACTTAAAGAGAAATTCATAAGTCATACTATATCTATGGGATGGAAACTGGTACAACAGTGGTCTTCTTTTAATCTCTTTTCTAATATTTGAATGTAAATAGGAACACGAGAAAGGCTGAGGGTACAGTTGAGTCACTTGAGAGAGAAATTGGAGAAAACTCTGCCAACATCCAGAAGTTAGAGGTATACTTCTCACTTTGATAGGACCCAAAACAAGATTTCTTAAGTTTAGGCAGCTTCTGATCGATTAGATTTCCTTATTTTGGCTTTTGTTGCAGCTCTTTTAATATTAGTTCTAAAGAACAACTGTATTTACCTACATGCTTGCATAAATATTTAAACACAGTTCTCTTAGGTTTACTCCAGTGGCATTAAAAAAACTTATTACAGGGTGCATACCCAACCAAGAAAACCAAGAAACGTCTGGAAATTTTTTAATGAAATTTTCCTCCTGAAAAGTTCTATAGAATCTTGAATCTGGTTTTAACTCAAACTTATTGAATTTTTTATCCTCACTAGTCATCTCAATATTGTAAGGGGAAGTCTAATGCCTCTCAGGAGTTAAAGGGTTAATGTAAGCCTTTGGAGTCATGGAAAAATCAATCTAAGTCCTGGAAAGGTCCAGGAAAATTGCCTCTGAAAAAGCTTTGAACCTTGTCATTTCTAATTGGAAAAATGGCTAAAACTCTATTTGGTAACCTTTGTTTTTGTAAACAGAAGTATACCTTAACCAGCTGATTGATTTTGTATTTAGATACTTCACTTGTGGTTTTAACTTATTTTGCTTTCTACTTCGTCTTTCTTCTGTCTTCATTTTACACTCTTTCTATCTTGTTTCATGTGCCATGGAAAATGAAACAGAATCAAAATCAAATCAAAAAAGGGTTTGATTAAGTAATACGAATTACAGTCAACTCGCCGACGGTCCAACTCGCCAACGTATAAAATCGAGTAGAGACGTCGGCGAGTTGGTCCTCAATCCAATACAACTTATTAGAAGTTAAACATACAGAAAAGTAAACGATATTTAGTAAAAAAACACTGGTGAACATTGGTGAACATCAAACAGAAGCTTAAACATTGGTGAACATGAGTGAACATTGTAATAACACAGCAATCCACACGTTCAAGCGGTTACTGAACAGACATTTTAATCTCTATCAAGTGCCTTGAAGGTACAAATGAAACTGAATATATAATGAGTCTAGCAGCACGTACAAATGAAATTCAACACAGGGCGTGAAAATTACAATATTATAACAAACATCACCAATGACTATAACAGGTTAAGACGCGAACGAGTTATTGTGCGACAACAACACCGTAAAGACTCATCATGTCAATCGCTCAGATTTTTTTAAAGAAAACTTGGCTTTCTAGACAAGATCTTTAGTAAAAAGCCATTCTTTTTATTTGCAACAAAGTTCATAAGGATCTCAAGGCGAATAAAGTGAAGTAAACATCACCAATGACTCTAACAGCTTCAGACGCGAACGAGTTATTGTGTGACAACAACACTGTAAAAACTCATCAACTGTTATAGTCATTGGTGATGTGCACCCACGTTCACCAATGTTTAAGCTTCTGTTTGATGTTCACCAATGTTCGCCAGTGTTTTTTTTTACTAAAGATAGTTTAGTTTTCTGTATGTTTAACTTCTAATAAGTTGTATTGGATTGAGGACCAACTCGCCGACGTCTCTACCCGATTTTATACGTCGGCAAGTTGACTGGATACCAGTAATACCTCTGATGTTATGTTCTCTGTCTGCCTTCATTTTTAGGAAGATTTCAAGACACTGGAGGAAAAAGCCACTAAAGTGTTAGAGGACTATGAAAAGGCTCAGGTCAGCACAAATTTAACTTGCATTTGTTCTTTAGCCAAAAGTGATGAGGACCAAGTTGTTT